ACAGTCACTGCTGAAAAATCGACAAAACTTATGAAAAACCAGTAATGTAAATAAGAACACGAAAAGAAGATCCTACCATCATCGCCACCACGCTTGATCGTCGGTTCGGACTGCGAGAGTAACAGATTTCCCTGCTCCGATGGAGGCAGAACAATGACGCCTTCTTCAGGCAGTGCCACCGTCTCAAAACTCGGCCTCACAGTCGTACCCCGTGCAACCACGACAGAGCCAGCTCCCACAAGCCGTCCAAGAAGAATGCTTTGTTTCGACGCTTTTCCCGAGTTCTTGGAGCCGACACGAACTCGCACGGGCTCGGCCTTCCCGAGCTCTTCCAAGCTCAGACCGCTCCATATGTAAGCCTCGCCTGTTTCTGAGACTGCCAGTATTTTCCTTTCCGTGCAATCCTTTTCGAAACCCCACGAATCTAGAGCAACAGCGGGATGCTCCATCGCCAGAGTCACTTTGGCTTCCTTCCCAACTTCGTTAGTGTCCCAAACTGCGATGTTTCTTTCACCAACAGCAGCCGAAAGTACGTATCTTCCGTCCTCGGTAAACACAGTAACATTCACAGAAGACTGAAAAAAACAGAAGAAAAAAGAAAGAGATCGTAATGTGCCAGGATAGAAATCAATATAACAATACTCACAGCATGCCCAGTAAACTTTCGTAACCTCTTCCTGGTTCTCATATCAAATAGTCTCAGCTCGTTGGCCGCGACAAGCAACAGCGAAGCATCTGCAAGAACACTTATTTACAGAACAAGGCTTTTGCTTCACGAAAGCACACACCTGGCGACGACGATATACTCGTGATTGAACTTTTCGAGCACTGCAACGTGCTCAAAATCTTTCCAGAGGCTACCTCGAGCTCGCAGACAATGCCATCTATCCCAGCACTGAACAAAGATCCTTGGTTCTTCGCGAAGCACACGGAGGTTACTCCACTGGAATAGTTGCTCAAAACCAAGCTAAACTCGAAAAAAAAATTTAAAAAATGGGAGTCGCTTACCCGGTGTTGCAATCGTTTGTCCTCCATGTGAGCTCTCCGAGAATGGGATCCCAGGCCAGGACGTCTCCACCTCCAGTTCCTAGAACAATCAAAGACGCCTTCTTCTTTTTCTAACACACAAACAAAGGATGAAGAAGCCTCCTGTGCCTTGCGAAATAGGCAAACCTTCTTGCTGGAAACACCCCATGCTAGAGTTTTGTAGTTGAGAGCCAAATGCCCGTCAAGAGCTTGAGAAGAACTCGCTGCTATCCCGCTAAATTCCGCGCAAACATGACCACTGGCAACATCCCATGTCTGTAGATCAAATATTTTGAATCAATAACACTGAAATCTAGAAGAAGAACCTTCAATCGTCCATCGCCAGCGCCGATAGCAAACTGATCTCCTCGCGGACTGAACGCCGCTAGAACCATCGCCAGAGGAGAAATGGGGCGCTTTAGGGCTTAGGGTTTTATTAACTTAAAGAATATTCTTCCATCTTTCTAACATCAAGGGGGAAAGGAATGATCAAACCCTACGTGGCATATACTACGAAGATTCGTCTCATCACAGGACGCGGGTAAAATAGACTAAAGCTCCGGTTAGAGAAGAATCAAACAGCGCAAGTTTTGCGTCTTATGTGAATTGAAAGATTTTTTCGCGATTTGTCATTAGCAATGGGATTTTACCAGAATCTGGAAAAAGAAAAAAAGATAAAAAAGGTAAAACTTAGGGTAAAACGTGTATGGGCGCATTTCCTTGGTACGATGAAAAGAAGAGTGGATCCACCGCTTGACACGAGCAAGGTATGGGCTGCTACTGTCTTACAGCCGTTTCCATTCTCCGTGTTGGAGCTGGACGGCTTGCGGAGAGCTCTCTCACACATCTTACCATTGGCGCTGCCCCTTGGCTCTGCAACTTTCGCACAGCTCGCCGATGATGATGAGATCGCTGCTGCCGGCTTCGCTCCAAACAGCCCGGCGGAGAGCATCGTGTCTCTCACGACAGCGTTCATGGGATCCAGCGCCGAGATGGACGAGTCCGGGAAGCTCCTCGAGTCTGCCTGGGACCAAGCCTTCTGCAACCTGTGGATGAAGCTGCTCAAGCTTGCTGGGATAACGACTGTCGAGTTCAATCGCAGCATCGTGATGGACTCTTTGGATGGTAGCACTCGCGCCGATCCGATGCTGTGGAGTGGAAACCGCCTGTGTGCTAAGTTCGAGGAGAGGCGGCAGTTCTTGCAGGATGCGCAAGAGAAGTTAGAGGAGAAGGTCGTCAACTTGGAGCCGCGGTTCTACGGGCCAGTGCCGTGGATCATCGGGGTGGCTCTGGCAGGCCAGGAGATGGCAGCGTGGGCGATGATACGGGGATCAAAGATGCAATCGCAAGTTCTTGTGGGGCCTTTGAAACTGACGTCGATGCGGGACAAGTTTACTTGCTTGCGCTTCTCCATCAATCTCCTCCGGGTTGCGCTCACGCTCAAGGACGTCGTCTCCTCCAGCTTTGTGGATCGTCCAAGGCCGTTCCGGACGCTCCCGCCAGCGTTCTATGGAGCTGCGGACCAGATCGAGAGAACGCTCTGGCTCGACAATGGTATGGCGATCAAGGAGATCTGTCCCTGGACGCTGCATGTCAGTGAAGGATTCACGACAATGGAGTTTGTGAGGAAAGCTTACGGGCTCCAAGCAGAGGGTATAGTTCCTGGCGAGCCGATGCTCATGAGGGACAGGTACAGAGTGACCATGAAGGCCGTGGAGTGTGAGCCGCCTGTTTGTACCGAAGCGGAACTTCTCAGTGCTGTTCTATGGATTCTTCGCGGCCTGGAGAAGTTGCATGAAGCGGGGCTGGTCCATCGGGATGTGAGGTGGGAGAATGTTGCCAGGAGCGGTGGTGGCTACGTCTTGATCGACTTGGAGACTGTGTGGGAAGCTGGTGACGAGCCCGAGTGTTCGCTTCTGGTTTGGGGTGAAGAGACGCTTGTAGGTGATAAGTACACGGAGCAATCTGATCTGTATCTTGTTGGTAAGATGATGTATGTTGTGGAAAAACTCTCCCCGGCAACTCAAGAGTTCCAGTCCAGGCTGCTGGGCTATGAGTTTGCATCAGCCAGAACTGCTATTGAGAACCTCATTGCTCTTCAGAACTGAAGAGCTTGGAGGACGAATGTTCGTGTTTGTTTTTGGATGCCCCTGCTGGAAACACCGGCATGAAGTGAGAGATTTTACAATATCTAGTTTAGCAAAGGAAGTTTTTTACTCAAAAATACTATTAAATCTTAAAGGAAAGTTATGGTTTAAGTCATTAGTGATTGAATCTGTATATTTTTATCACTATATAAAACAATATTTTATCAAAACAATATTTTGAAATTTTGCAAATAAATAAAAAACTTTAAGCTATAAACTAAACATATTTTAAAAGCTAAGCACCATAAATTTAAATAAAAAATTATAAAAATTATATTACAAATAAATATATTGTGGATTTATTACAAATTTGGTTGTTTAAGTATCAGATATTAGAATTTTTTAAAGTAACTAATTTTCACAACATATTTTTTAATTGATGTATTTCAATGTTCAACTAAAAGATATTAAAAAAAGAGATAATCATGCATATTTTTAAATAAAAAATTTAAGAAAATAGTCATTTCTATCTTTTAAATATAAGTATAATATGGAAATAACTAAATAAAATTAGTTTAAAAGTTTATTAGTATATATATATATATATATATTTATATATTTATATTTATGTATTTTTATGGCTAAAGCTAAACTTCAATATCTATTTAATGTTAATTGATGTGATGATAATTGGACAAAAGTAAGAGTTAGTTTCAAATATATGAACTTTAACAAAGGAAAATTTACCTTTTCTTTAATAAATTAAACAAAATAAAAGAAATAAAACTTCTTTCAAACTCATACTCAAATTTGAATTTAGTTTCAATAATAAAACTTATTTCCTATGTTATACAATGTGTTACTTTTTCTTGTGTCCCTTTTTAGTGAAATTTAATTTAATTTTTGTTTCTTTCTATCATAGACATTAATGTGTATTATGAATTTTTATAAATGAAGAAAGAAGATTTTTATATAGGTTACTAAACATAATTTTTATTGAAAATCTTGAATTTAATCTTTAATTCTGAACCCTAATAAAAAATAAATTAAAAATTAATAAAGATTATACTTACTTGAGTAAATTGAGGTCTTAAAATTAGAAAAATTATAATATTTACTATGTTTTTATCGGTGTTTGTTTTCCATTTGCTAAAAAATGAAATAGCAAGTGTTTAGTTCAACAAGCCTAGAAAATATGAAAGAACTAATTTATTAAATTAAATTAAGAACTCATAATAACCGATATTTTCTTTATTATTTATCTTGATTATAAAATAAATTAAAAGAAAAAATTATCCTGGAATATATAAATAATATAGTTTAACTTCTTATATCTAATCTTTTTTCGTTGATATTTGATTACTAAAAAATTAGAATCAATAAATATATTTAGTTAAAATATATAAATTTTAGCAAAATTTATAATAATAATATGATACTAGTTTTAGTGATATTATTTGTAGTCCTTTATAAATTATAAAGTAACTTTAAATGTATCAATCAATGTTTATACTTTTTTGTGATTCAATAACAGTTTGATTGAGAATTGCATTTTGTTTGCAATCGCTTCATTTGAGGAGACAAGATGTATTTTCTCGTTTTTTTTCGTGATGTTTGCTTGGAATAATGTTATTTTAAAGTTTGTTAAGCTATTCACTTTTTTTGCATTTAAAGTTTCAAGTTTTTTCTCATCATTGTCACATACACATAATTATGTATTTATTTATTTTATAAATATAATTAATATTTTATTATCAATTTTTTTAAAAAAATCTTTATATTTTTATTATTTTTAATAAATATTTTCTCGCGATTCTGAGCTGTGTTCCTGTGATGCAGTCTCTCTCGATCGGGATAGGGCACTTGCTTTTCTACCTTAGGCTAGGAATGGGGCAGACTTGCAGCGTTACCGAGTTTTTCCAGCCTCCCAAGAGGGTGAAGGTGGGATCGGAGGACCGAGCACAGGTTTTTCATACTGCTGCCGCTACTGTGGATGGAGAGGATGGGTCTGGATTCTTGTTTCGTCATCTCAGCGATGAGGAGCTCGCTCGATCAGAGTCCAGCTCCGAAGCACCTATCTTCCTACTCGTTCAAGACAGCTCTTTCAGTGGAAGAAAATGCCGAAAGAGAACAAGGTCCGAGCAAAGACGAGAAGATCCGAGTGGAAACTTCAGTGGAGGAGCACACGGAAGTTTCAACGCTAAGCAAAGAGCAAAAGATGCGAGTGGACATGAACAAGTCTACAAGAAACAGAAGAAACAAATGTATATAGCTATGTTTAATATTAAACTCATAATAGTCCCTTCTGGTTTAGTGAAAAGGCTCATCAAAACTTTTAAAAGGATGATCAAACATGAATATATATAGTCAGCATTCCTTGTCGGTGAAGTGTGAAAAGGGTTTTGACCCAATCCTAGGGCATGGCGAGATGGATGCTGGTATTGGACCTAGATCAGACGCTCGTCAGTGTGGCTGATCACGATGAAGAAACTTTGCTCCGGTGCGTGACAAAACGACCAGGTTTGGACAGGTTCCTCAAGGATATGTCCCAGGTTTACGAGATTGTAATCTTCAGTGCTTCGGGTGCGTCATACGTGAAGAAGATTGTGAGTAGCTTAGATCCCACCGGGGAAATATTTTCTGCCGTGTTCACCGGGAGCGACACGGATTGGTTGAGCGGCCAAAGGGTGAAGGATTTGCGAAAACTAAACAGGGACAAAATCGTGTGGATCGATGACAACGCGAGCTTGTACCCCTACAATCCCAAAAATGGCATCCAAGTCCCACCCTTTCACGGTGATCCCAATGATTCTATCCTTGGGGCCTTGACTCCCCTTTTACTAGAGGTGGCATTGGGCCAAATCAGTGTTGAGAATGCAAGCGAACTATTTGTTCGTGCAAGAAATAAATAGAAATCCCCAGTGCTTGGGGTTCTTTATTCTTTCGAACGAGTCGGTGCCACAATGGAGACTTCCGCCGTGTGCCGTGATCGCCAAGGTGATTGGCTTAAGCCCTCGGTACCTTTTCTTCTTCGATCCATTCGCTCCTCCAAGCAAGGTATAGCTCCATTGGTTCCAGCCCCGCTTGCTCCATTTTGCATTGAAGATCTCTTGTTTGAACTCCACGGCATTCTCATGAACCGGTCTACGGTCCCTCGGGATTTGTTGGAGGTGGATGCCCGGGGTTTGTACGAAGGCATCGAGCGCTGCAAAGGTCTGGTTTTGCCTCTTTTTCTTGTCTCTCTTTTCTTATGCTTGTCTTGCAGAATTCAAGGGTGCTCCTCTTCCTGTGAAATCTGTTCGTCTTCTCGAGCTGCTGCTGCCTTTGGTGAGGCCAAGGTCGGCAGCAGAAGACGCAGTGGTCGTGATCACAAAGGACTCAAACGTGCGGTACACGCAGGAGGTCCTACGCTGCTACTATCACCCCGTGAAGCTCGTGGGGAGTCTTCCAGACCACGAGTGGATGTTCAGGCGCTTGGATGTCCTTGTTGCGAGTCCTGAGGACATTTGCAAGCTCCGTGCTCGCGGTGAGATCACGGATGCCTGCTTACTTGCTGTCGTTCTGATTGACGACGACAACCCGGAGTTCTTTACACAGGTTCACGTTACCGTATGGTGTGCTATTCTAGTGCTGACTGAAGTGCACCATGCAGGTTCTTGCCGTGCTCGAGTGTTTCTCCTTCGTCTTGAGCCTTCCGTTGGTGTTGCGGCCACCTGTTCTCAGGTTTGTTTCATGATAGGTTATTAAATATAATTATTATTGAAAATCTTGAATTGAATCTTTAATTTTGAACCTTAATAAAAAATAAGTTAAATATTAATACTTACTTGAGGGAATTGAGGTTTTAAAATTAGCAAAAATTATAATATTTACTAAAAAAATATTTAAAAAATAATTTATTAATTTAAATTAAGAACTCATGATGACCCATTTTTTATTTATTGTTTATCCTGATTATAGAAGTCTATTATTTTATGTATATTAAAAGAAAAATTGATCCTAGAATATATAAATAATATAGCATAACTTCTTATATATAATATTTTTGTTGATATTTGATTATTCAAAAATTAGAATCAATAATAATATTTAGTTAAAATATATAAAGTTTAGCAAAATTTATAGTAATGATATGATACTAGTTTTAGTGATATTATTTGTAATCATTTATAAGTTATAAAATAACTTTAAATGTATCAATCAATATTTCTAATTTTTTGTGATTCAATGGCAATTTGATCGAAGATTTCATTTTTTCTGCAGTTGCTTCATCTGAGGAGACAAAATATATTTTCTCATTCTCCTTCCTAATATTTGTTTGAAATGATATTACTTTAAAATTTGTTAAATTATTCATTTTATTTATATTTTAAGTTCCAAGCTTTTTTTCATCATTGTCATATACACATAATTATGTGTTTATTTAGTTTACAAATATAATTAATATTTTATTATCAAGTTTTAATAAAACTTATATTTTTATTATTTTTTATAAATATTTTCTAGAATAAACTTCAAATATACATAACTACATTGAATTTGAAATTTTATAGAAATTTTGTAATTTAACATGTTAAATATAATTCACATTGAAAACTAATATTTAAGTACTAATACAAATAATCACTCTATAGAGCCATAATACCAAAGACATTAATCTTCCTATAATATAAGTGACATTTAATTTTTATTGCATCTATTATAATATAAACCCATGCTAAGTCAGATAAATATATTTTTTTATAAAATCAAGTTTTATGTTCTCAAAATAATAGAAGCATACTTTCAATTTTGATATTGCTTCAAATTTATTCTTGTTGATATAATGTAATCTGTTTTTCCTGAAACTTTTCTGAATGTAGATTAATAGTAGAAATAAACTTTTTTAGTTTATTGAGTAGTTTTGTTTCCATACTCAAGAGGAACACTCGCCCATTGTGATCTTTTGCAGCTCACTTGAGCAAAGACAAATTGCGAAAAAATATTTCTGTGCCACGGAATTATTCACATAGCGACGTAAAACTCGATTGGAGCTTTAGTCTATTTTACCGGCGTCGATGATTCCTCCTTGGGTTCCGGTGAGGCGGAATGTAGGGCCCTGGAGCTGGAGCTGGCAAAACATTTTTTGAAGGTAAAGTAGTTACTCTCCACGTACTTACCATCGATGAAGCCCAGTGGCGAACGGTCTTTGAAGCAATACAGTCGGTACTCGTACCCGAGTTTATCGAGCTGCCTCTTTACTCCGCGAGAGAGGAGAAGGCAAGCAGGACCAAGACCAAGATCGCGCATCATCTGGAAAACCGCATGGAAGGCGATGAGTTCAAGCAACAAATGTATTTGACCAACCTCTTTTTTCTTCCCGACGACGACAAACGCGTCCACAGGCTTGGAAACCTTTGCAGCTAAGTAGGCCGCCCGAGTCTGTTGTGTAAGTGCGTCATAGTTGTGCAGCAACTCATCGGAGGCAACGTAGAGGAAGAGATCGACGTGGGAGGGGGTCGAGCCTCTCGGAATGGGATATCGATCATCCCGTTTGAGAACCATCGCTGGCCGCTGCTCTCCGAGAATGTCGATGAGATCGCGTTGAGCTCCTTCGGCCATGTCTACCAGGATGGTCTTCCCAGTGATGATAAACGGGCAAGGAAGTTCTAAGGTGGAAAAGAATATGGAAGGTTGAATAATCGGAAAGATTAGATTTACCTCTCTCGATCGAGACATGCTGGATCACACTAAAGAGCGGGTCGATCATCCAATTCGGAACTAAACACGTAATAGGAAGTAAGAGGTCCTCATTCCGGCAAGAAAGAAAAGCTAGTATTACCGACAGAATTGAGGAGGAAGATCGTGGATGCCATTGAGCTGCAGATAGCCGCTGGAAAGAATGTGATCGATCGATCAAAGACGCAATATTTCGCCATCATCAAGGAAGAATTCGAGAATACGTACCAAGAACTGCCATAGAAGCCCTGTCCGTGAGGAAATATGCCATCGCCAGGGTCTCCAAGGGGATTCCGACGCTCTCCCGCCAGGAAATCTTAATCTTGGTGTAGAGCAAGATCGCTGTGGGACAGAGAATGCCGAGAACGGGCAGGCCACACGGCATCGCCGCCAAGTCGCCGACCTGGAAGAGCGCCACGATCGTAGAGCTGATGATGAAGAGCGCGATCCCTAATGCCGCCAAAGCGCCGAACTTGGAGAAGAGCGCCATCGCCGCCATGCGCTATTCCTTCCCACAAAGTGTTAAGGGCAAACGCAATGGCGGGCTGTTCAAAATATAGAAACGAATCTTCGCAGTATATACCATGTAGGGTTTAATCATTCCTTTTCCCCTTGCCTGGACGATAAAGTTATTTCCTAGGGCTCGTATTCTCAATGGCGGGAAGAGAGGCCCTAGCTAGCTAGGGCGCGCGGGAGCACGAACCGATCCATCCAGGTCTGCTAGGAATCCCCTGCTTGTGCGCCTGCCTCATTCATGTTCTTCCCAGTTCTAGCATCGGAGTAGTGCATTCTCGCGATTTTGAGCTGTGTTCCTGTGATGCAGTCTCTCTCGATCGGGATAGGGCGCTCGCTTTTCTACCTTAGGCTGGGAATGGGGCGGACTCGCAGCGTTACCGAGTTTTTCCAGCCTCCCAAGAGGGTGAAGGTGGGATCGGAGGACCGAGCACAGGTTTTTCATACTGCTGCCGCTACCGTGGATGGAGAGGATGGGTCTGGATTCTCGTTTCGTCGTCTCAGCGATGAGGAGCTCGCTCGAAAGTTTGACGATCAGAGTCCAGCTCCGAAGCACCAATCTTCCTACTCGTTCAAGACAGCTCTTTCAGTGGAAGAAAATGCCGAAGGAGAACAAGGTCCGAGTAAAGACGAGAAGGTCCGAGTGGAAACGTCAGTGGAGGAGCGCACGGAAGTTTCAACGCTAAGCAAAGAGCAAAAGATGCGAGTGGACATGAACAAGTCCATGGCTCTGGCCAGGAGAAAGCTGCGACTGTGCGAGGAGGTCGTCCAAGCTTGTAAGTGTTTTCTTAGTTCTTTTTCTCGCGTATGTAACTTTCGTGGTTTTTCGTTCTTTCTCCAGCGCAAGGAGAATTCCCCGACTTGGAGAAGCTTTTGGTGGAACCGAGCTGGGTGGAGGTCTTGCAGGACGAGTTCAAGAAGCCATACATGGAGAATCTCCAGACTTTTGTGAAGCAACAAGCGGCCGGAAAAGTTCCCGTTTATCCACCAGCGGCCAAAGTGTTCAATGCCTTCAACTCGTGCCCTTTCGATCGAGTGAAGGTTGTTCTTCTTGGTCAGGTATGCATTTGATTTCCTCTCCAACATTGTCCAAAAATATTTGTTTTTCTCCAGGATCCTTACCATGGTCCAGGCCAGGCCATGGGTTTATCATTCTCGGTTCCAGAAGGCATCAGAATTCCTTCCAGCCTGCTCAACATGTACAAAGAAATCCACAGCGACGTTGGTTGCCGGGTTCCGCTACACGGAAACCTTGAAAAGTGGGCATACCAGGGAGTTTTGCTGCTAAACACTGTTCTCACGGGTACGCAAGGAGATCTCTTGCTCGAGTTCTTTTCTTTTCCGTTTCGCTTATTTCGTTTGGACTAGTTCGCGAGCAGCAGGCAAACTCTCATGCCAAGAAAGGCTGGGAGCCGTTCACTGACGCAGCCATCCGTGCCATTTCGAAAAGAAAGACCGGGGTTGTATTTCTGCTGTGGGGGAACTGCGCACAAGAGAAAATCCGGTGAGTGGAAAACTCTCGCCAGCATGTTTTGCATTCGATGTTGCTGAACATCCTTTCTTTCTTTGTTTGCAGTTTAATCAACCCAAACGAGTATCACGTCTTAAATCCATCTGGCCTCTCCGCCCACAAGAAACCGAAGAAACAAATGTATATACTATGTTTAATATTAAACTCATAATATTCCCTTCTATGCTGTAGTTTCTTCCTTTTTTGAGTTGGTAGTGTTTGTTTTGGGGTCTTTTCTACAGTTGATTATTAATTTTGAGTATACCTTTATTACTTCTGAAACTTGTTAGCAGGGAAGTAGTGTTGTTGCTAGTGTGTCTGGGACTGGTGTAGAATACTTCTTTATTAAAAAAAAAAATCTCTCAAACAATAATATCTTAAAATTTCACACTTTCATGAATGATTATCATCCATAAATGAATGGTTTAGTGAAAAGGCTCATCAAAACACATGAATATATACAGTCAGCATTCCTTGTCGGTGAAGTGTGAAAAGGGTTTTGACCCTCTTGGCATGGCGAGATCGACGCTGGTATTGGACCTAGATCAGACGCTCGTCAGTGTGGTTGATCACGATGAAGAAACTTTGCTCCAGTGCGTGACGAAACGACCAGGTTTGGACAGGTTCCTCAAGGATATGTCCCAGGTTTACGAGATTGTAGTCTTTAGTGCCTCGGGTGCGTCATACGTGAAGAAGATCGTGAGTAGCTTAGATCCCACCGGGGAAATATTTTCTGCCGTGTTCACCGGGAGCGACACGGATTGGTTGAGCGGCCAAAGGGTGAAGGATTTGCGAAAACTAAACAGGGACAAAATCGTGTGGATCGATGACAACGCGAGCTTGTACCCCTACAATCCCAAAAATGGCATCCAAGTCCCACCCTTTCACGGTGATCCCAATGATTCTATCCTTGGGGCCTTGACTCCCCTTTTACTAGAGGTGGCATTGGGCCAAATCAGTGTTGAGAATGCAAGCGAACTATTTGTTCGTGCAAGAAATAAATAGAAATCCCCAGTGCTTAGGGTTCTTTATTCTTTCGAACGAGTCGGTGCCATAATGGATATTTGATCGCCAAGGTGATGTGCTTAAGCCCTCGGTACCTTTTCTTCTTCGATCCATTCGCTCCTCCAAGCAAGGTATAGCTCCATTGGTTCCAGCCCCGCTTGCTCCTTTTTGCATTGAAGATCTCTGCCACGGCATTCTCATGAACCGGTCTACGGTCCCTCGGGATTTGTTGGAGGGGGATGCCCGGGGTTTGTACGAAGGCATCGAGCGCTGCAAAGGTCTGGTTTTGCTTCTTTTTCTTGTCTCTCTTTTCTTATGCTTGTCTTGCAGAATTCAAGGGTGCTCCTCTTCCTGTGAAATCTGTTCGTCTTCTCGAGCTGCTGCTGCCTTTGGTGAGGCCAAGGTCGGCAGCAGAAGACGCAGTGGTCGTGATCACAAAGGACTCAAACGTGCGGTACACGCAGGAGGTCCTACGCTGCTACTATCACCCCGTGAAGCTCGTGGGGAGTCTTCCAGACCACGAGTGGATGTTCAGGCGCTTGGATGTCCTTGTTGCGAGTCCTGAGGACATTTGCAAGCTCCGTGCTCGTGGTGAGATCACGGATGCCTGCTTACTTGCTGTCGTTCTGATTGACGACGACAACCCGGAGTTCTTTACACAGGTTCGCGTTACCGTATGGTATGCTATTCTAGTGCTGACTGAAGTGCACCATGCAGGTTCTTGCCATGCTCGAGTGTTTCTCCTTCGTCTTGAGCCTTCCGTTGGTGTTGCGGCCACCTGTTCTCAGGTTTGTTTCATGCCTTGTTCTTGAAAGCTTGTATTCAGGCAGCTTCTTTTGTTACTAGGTTCGTCAGGACGACGGCAGTCTCATGGCTTACTCCAGCGACGCTTTCGTCTATGGCTACGGAGCTGCGGGAAGTCTTCTTATCGTCTACTACGCCATTGATCAGCCTGGAGGAACACTCGTCAAAGAGAAACCTCTCCAAAAAATTCATACTCTACCTCATTATCGACATTGCGTACATCAATCGCAGCAGCTGTTCGGAGAGAACTAAATTCTCTGGAATGTTGTCCCTGGAAAAAGCTGTAACCCTGACTCGTTTTTTCTCACGAAACAAACCTCATCGAAGGATCTCTTAGGTGAATGCTGAGAAGATTGGCCGTGATTTCCACCGCAATCGGGACACGCTCTTGCCTGCCATGCCGTAATCTGTGCAAATTCCAAGAATCTCGTCAAAGAAATGGACGAGAACAAGAGCGTACCCTGCCGATCGCGGCCGATATTCTCGATGAGAAATCCGAGAAGAGCGCAGATCTCACGCAATCTCATTCCTTCCAGCTGCCCCAGGCGCACATTCATCTTCTCTTTCTTCTTCTTCTTCTTCTTCTTCTTCTTCTTCTTCTTCTTCTTCATCGCCCGATAAACCCTAAACCCCGGGTTAGTAGATTCTAAGAACGTAGAAAAGAGTTTCACTTCATCAAAGCGTTAATAGCAGTGGCGAAAGAGCTAGTCTCACGCAAACCACGAAGATCAAATGGAATCAAGCGCAGGAACTGGAGAAGTTCGTGATAATCTGGAACAAGAACTACACAGTCCAAGTCAAGCTGAGAAAACGTAGCAGCCTGGCGTCAATTCCAATAGTTTGATTTTTTATTATTTCTTGTTTATATGATTTTATTATTTTCGTCCTTCCTTCCATACAGTTTATTTAAAAAGCTCCATCTAAGTGTTACAATAATAAGAAGACATTGCTAGTAGTGATGGCTATGGCTTTGTTTGCATGCAAGAGCACAGCTCCTTTTAGTGGAGTATTCCAATAGTGGCCTAATGATATGAATCTTGGAAGTGATGCCTCCACATGGAATTGTGGCCCTCAATAAGATCATCAAAAAGTTTGTTCCAGGACATTGCAGTGCTCCACCTCTGAACTGAAATTGAAAATGCCATCATATGTGACATACGTTAATCTCCATTATGGAGCTTCTGTGGGTTCGTATAAAAAATCACAAGGAAACACAGAAGAAAAGTAAGGAAAACTTCAGAAGCTCTATTAGCTACAGGAGCGATGGAAGTATGCGTGAGAAGCCCAGGAATCTATTCATGCTCACGAAACACCAGGTTGTGGAGGGCCTCATTGCAATCGAGCCTGAATTGCTTCTTGGCTAGGTCCAGCAACACAGTAGACTCCCTGGACGATCAAAAGGCAGAAATGAAACACTGCAGAGGAGGAGCTCCTAAATCACAGCAGGAGTGGTGTGTGAGGCCACATTGGAGCCAATTGGACATTAATCCAAAGCTGCATTAGCAAGGATAAGTTGACTGGAAAGGTTAGTGCAGAAGCCAACGGAGTCTGAAACCCTAGTGAAGTCACATGATAAATGATATCTCCTTTACTATATGTACTTTTGTGTAAAGAGGAAATACTAATGGCAAGGATCTTCCATGGGATGTGCAATACCAGGTGTCTAGAGGGGATTGCTATGTGTTTTAGGGATATGTGTGGGTACTCTTGAGGTAGCTCACAGCATTTTAGTAGAGCAAGAAGGAAACACAATAGATATTATTAGAGAGATAAAAGTGATAGAAGTACAAATATAAAGAAAAAAAGAGATTTAAGGGAGTATGAGATAAAGAGAAAACACATTTAGCATGATTTTTAACTATTTACTTAATCTTAGTACAAAAAATAATCTATCAGTCAAAAGGATAATTAACCCATAATCAACTTAAGAAGAGATGGTTAACTCTCATTGCCTCAAAACATCTCTCACATCAAGGAGCATAAGAGCAAAACAATAGAGCAAAAAGGACCAAGAAGTAATAGGGGGAGAAAGAGAATGTGGATAAAATGCAGGGGTATACTTGTTGAAAGCTCTTGCCTTCTCTTTGTTCAATATCTTCTCTTGATCTTGACTAATTGTTGGATTGGAAGTTGAAATTGAAACCAAGAGTGAAGAAGACCAAGATGAAGTCCACTACTCCTTGAGGGGTTGGAGCTTGAAGATGATATAGAACATGGAGCATGGAGTGCGGAGCATGGCATGTGGCATATGGAGTGTAGAGCATCAAAGCTCACAAACCCTTGCATTTTGCATCCATGCTTCAAGTTGGGCACCACAAGGCCATTAAAATAGCTTAAAAATAGATCCATAGACATCATGCCTTTGTGCTTTAAGTACATATCCACTAGGGAATTCAATTATGTTTATAACTAATGGAGGCAAAGTCCAGATGTTATATTCATGCATGAGGATTCAAACTCACACATGATGATTTATAATAGTGCTCACCCTTAGTGGCTAGACGAAAATTTTAATTGCAAACTCCCACGGTGGATAGTGGTGGCAAATAAATACCAAAGAGATGGCAAATACATAAACTCTTAGTGTCGAAAAAGCAGGCACACACTTGGCCCTATGCCTTGAGCGCTGTGAAATGCGAGCAAGGGCCGCAGGAGGAGGAGCGTGATCGTGTTCTTGCTCTCTCCGACCAGGCTGAGAGCTTCCTTAAGCTGGGACGATATGAGCAGTGCGTGGATGCCGCAAGCGCCGCTCTTGCCGTGGATCCCCGCCACCTCAAGAGCCTCTACAGGAAAGCTTTAGCGCTGCTCAATCTCTAGTGCTACGAGTGGTCGTGCCGGCTCTTAAACGACGTTTTTGGAGTGGTTGAGGCAATCGATCAGCTGCACGAGAGATGCCAGAAGCTCGCAATCCAGAGCCAGGACATCAGCAGCATCACGGCAGATATCCACGGCTTTTTTCGGGCCTGGAGCGAAGGAGAGAAAGCCCCACTTTTCCCAGAGGTTGCTGACAACGTTTGCCAAGTGGAAGTGAAGAAATGCGAGGACCAGAGCAAGCAACGAGGCCGGGGGCTCTTTGCAACGACCAACATCAAGAAAGGCGAGCTTGTCCTTACCAGCAACTCGGGGGCTTTCGAGCGAGGTGGCAACATCTCGATATGTGTTGAGATTAGATGCTCAGGTAGATGCTTAGCTAGGCAGTTAGGATGATGTGGCATTAGGCAGTTGCCACAGTATATAGCTTCATATATACAATATGAGCAGTCGTTGCCTTTTTTATCATGGTATCAGAGCACAGATCTTGAGGACCTGTGAAGGATGAAGAAGAAGAAGAAGCTTCCAGATGCCAACGGCAGAAGCAGAGTAGCCTAGAGCGCAGCAACAGAGCAATGGCAGAGCCGTACCAGCGGCAGATAGTACCGACTCAGAAGCCCTGGAGCGGCAGAAGATGCTGATATGCTCCAAGAGAGGAGCAGCAGAGCAGCCAAGAAGCCCAGGAGCAGCAGAGCAGTGACTCAGCAGGCCGAGAAGCAGAACGGCGGCAGGAGTGGCCAAGATGCTCGAAGAGAGGAGCAGCAGCAGCCAAGTGAAGAGCGGCAGATGGCAGCAGCAGAGTTGGCTGAGAAGCCCAGCAGTGGCAAAAGAGCTCCAAGAGAGGAGCAGCAGCAGCCAAGTGAGCGGCGGCAGATAGCAGCGGCAGAGTTGGCTGAGAAGCCCAGCAGTGGCAAAAGAGCTCCAAGAGAGGAGCAGCAACAGCCAAAGGAGCGATGGCAAAGCAGCCAAGAGTGGCAGAGGCAGCAAGCCCTAGAGCAACAAGATGTAGTTGCTTTGAGTGGGAGTCAGTGTCAGTTGTATGCATGCTAAGCATCTTATGTCTTATGTCCTTCTCTCTCGCTCTTCTCTTCTCTTTCTTTTTGTTCGTCTACTTCTTTGTGCTTGTGCTTAGGGAATCCTTTGTTTGATCGTCTCAACTTGGTCTCGGTTTTGAAAATAATGTAAGTTTTAAAGGATATAAAGTTATAACAATAGTAAAGTATATAAAGCATTTGGCTCTGAAAGCTTTGGAGAAAGAAGTAGCTAGAGACATTTTTAGAGCCAATTAATGAGAAGAGCTATGTTTGATGTGGACATGAACTTATGGAGGTGGGGGTAGAGAAGATTGTCCAGGTTTTTTCAGATACTCCAAATGTTAATATATCTATTGGGACCAGGATAGAAGAAGAGTTTCCTACCATAATTTGGAATAAATGCATAGTTTCTTATATGGATCTTTTGCTAGAAGACTTTTTTGGGAAGATAGATTTCATAGCTAGCATAGTTGAAAAAGCTCATAAGGTTGAGAAATTCATCAATAAACATGAGCATTACTCAAGAACTTTAGCAACAAGGTCATCTTCAAGCTAGTAGCTACCAACTTTGGAATAGATTTCTTGCTTATGAGGGGGCTAGGATTGATGGTAAATATCTCAAATTAAAGTAACTGGAAATCACAGTCTACGGAAAAAATTGAAGTTATAAACTCAATTTATGATAGGAGCTTCTGGAGGCTTAAGATTTTGATGCTAGAATGACAAATCTGGTTTACCAGGGAATGGAGCGTTGCTATATTCATACAATTTTAACTTGCACTTAAAGTGGTTTGGCAAAGGAATCACAGGATTGGGGAATTGCATTTATATCCAAATTCTACCCTAAGAAATTTTAAAATAGTAGAGGTCAATTCATGAGTGATCCAGATGCTAGACCTTATTTGTGGGAGAAAGGATGGACATTATTTGAGGCTGCTGCCTAGATTCTATAGATTCTAGCGTGAGAGAGAGAGGAAGAATATTCCACTCTCAAAAAGATCCCTGAGCCTTGTACAAAAAGAGTGAGGGCAAATATTAGAAGTTTGTGGACTCTTAGAGTTTATCTTGAGCATAAGTTGGGGACTGCCCTATATCTTGAGCATAAGTTGTAAGATCCTCACAACTAGTTGGTACCATATAATTTATTGTCACGCTTGACAATTGTAGTAAATATAAAATATAAAATTCATAAAATTATAATTTAATAAATATTATTAAAATATCCAAGTATATTCCTTATTTGTTTGTGACATTAAATTACGCTAATGCCTCTAATGTAGTTTTTATATTAATATAATGTCCAAATTTGATCAAGTTTTTCACACTGGAAATTAAATATTAAATTAGTTTAATGCCAACCTAATGTGTTTTACTATCATTTCTTACTGTCAATGCTTTATTCTTCTTTTTATATGAAATCTTCATTTAGGCCGTGTTGGAGCTGGACGGCTTGCGGAGAGCTCTCTCACACATGCTACCATTGGCGCTGCCCCTTGGCTCTGCAACTTTCGCACAGCTCGCCGATGATGATGAGATCGCTGCTGCTGGCTTCGCTCCAAACAGCCCGGGGGAGAGCATCGTGTCTCTCACGACAGCGGTCATGGGATCCAGCGCCGAGATGGACGAGTCCGGGAAGCTCCTCGAGTCTGCCTGGGACCAAGCCTTCTGCAACCTGTGGATGAAGCTGCTCAAGCTTGCTGGGATAACGACTGTCGAGTTCAATCGCAGCATCGTGATGGACTCTTTGGATGGTAGCACTCGCGCCGATCTGATGCTGTGGATTGGAAACCGCCTGTGTGCCAAGTTCGGGGAGAGGCGGCAGTTCTTGCAGGATGCGCAAGAGAAGTTAGAGGAGAAGCTCGTCAACTTGGAGCCGCGGTTCTACGGCCCAGTGCCGTGGATTATCGGGGTGGCTCTGGCAGGCCAGGAGATGGCAGCGTGGGCGATGATACGGGGATCAAAGACGCCATCGCAAGTTCTTGTGGGGCCTTTGAAACTGACGTCGATGCGGGACAAGTTTACTTGCTTGCGCTTCTCCATCAATCTCCTCCGGGTTGCGCTCACGCTCAAGGACGTCGTCTCCTCCAGCTTTGTGGATCGTCCAAGGCCGTTCCGGACGCTCCCGCCAGCGTTCTATGGAGCTGCGGACCAGATCGAGAGAACGCTCTGGCTCGACAATGGTATGGCGATCAAGGAGATCTGTCCCTGGACGCTGCATGTCAGTGAAGGATTCACGACAATGGAGTTTGTGAGGAAAGCTTACGGGCTCCAGGCAGAGGGTATAGTTCCTGGCGAGCCGATGCTCATGAGGGACAGGTACAGAGTGACCATGAAGGCCGTGGAGTGTGAGCCGCCTGTCTGTACCGAAGCGGAACTTTTCAGTGCTGTTCTATGGATTCTTCGCGGCCTGGAGAAGCTGCATGAAGCGGGGCTGGTCCATCGGGATGTGAGGTGGGAGAATGTTGCCAGGAGCGGTGGTGGCTACGTCTTGATCGACTTGGAGACTGTGTGGGAAGCTGGTGACGAGCCCGAGTGTTCGCTTCTGGTTTGGGGTGAAGAGACGCTTGTAGGCGATAAGTACACGGAGCAATCTGATCTGTATCTTGTTGGTAAGATGATGTATGTTGTGGAAAAACTCTCCCCGGCAGCTCAAGAGTTCCAGTCCAGGCTACTGGGCTCTGAGTTTGCATCAGCCAGAACTGCTATTGAAAACTTCATTGCTCTTCAGAACTGAAAAGCTTGGAGGACAAATGTTCGTGTTTGTTTTTGGATGCCCCTGGCATGAAGTGAGAGATTTTACAATCTCTAGTTTAGCAAAGGAAGTATTTTACTCAAAAATACTATTAAATCTTAAAGGAAAATTATGGTTTAAGTCATTAAAATTTTAGTGATTGAATCTGTATATTTTTATCACACTATGGCAACTAGGCCATAAAACAATATTTTATCAAAAAATTATTTTGAAATTTTGCAAAATAAATAACAAGATTTAAGCTATGAATAGCAATATAGTAAGTGGACAAATATTTATGAACTAAATATATTTTAAACCCTAAGTCCTATAGATTTTCTTGAACAAATAAAAAATAAAAAAAATTATATTACATTTAGTTAAAAAATAAAGATATTGTAGATTTATTAGAAATTTGGTTGTTTAAGTATCAGATATTAAAATTTCTTACAGTTACTAATTTTCACAACATATTTTTTAATTGATGTATTTTAATGTCCAACTAAAAGATATAAAAAAGAGATAATCATGCATATTTTAAAATAAAAATTTTCAAGAAAAAGGGTCATTCTCTCTTTTAAATATCATAACTAAATATAGAAATATAGAAATAACTAAATAAAATTAATTTAGAAGTATATTAGTATATACATATTTTTATATTTATGTACCTGTATGGTTAAAGCTAAACTTAAATATCTATTTGGTGTTGATTATAATATATCAAATCAATGTTTTTAAATTTTTGTGATTTAATAACAACTTGATCGGGGATTGCATCTTATTTGCAGTCGTTCCATCTAGAAGAACAAAATATATTTTCTCGTTCTTTTTCTTGATGTTTGCTCAGAATGATATTACTTTAAAATTTATTAAACTATTTACTTTGTTTGTATTTAAATTTTCAGGCTTTTTGTCAGCATTGTCACATACACATAATTATGTGTTTATTTAATTTATAAATAAAATTAATATTTATTATCAAATTTTTTAAAACGTTATATTTTTATTATTTTTAATAAATATTTTCTAGAATAAATTTCAAATATACATAACTACATTGAAGTTGAAATTCTATAGAAATTTTGTAATTTAACATATTAATTATAATTCACATTGCAAACTAAAATTTAAGTAACAAATAATTACTCTATAGAGCCATAATACCAAAGACATTAATCTTCTTATAATATAAGTGACATTTAATTTTTATTGCATCTATTATAATATAAACCCATGCTAAGTCAGATAAATATATTTTATTATAAAATCAAGTTTCATGTTCTCAAAATAATAGTAGCATACTTTCAATTTTGATATTGCTTCAAATTTATTCTTGTTGATATAATGTAATCTGTTTTTCCTTACACTTTTCTGAATGTAGATTAATAGTAGAAATTATTGAGTAGTTTTGTTTCCATACTCAAGATTCGAGAGGAACACTCGCCCATTGGGATCTTTTGCAGCTCACTTGAGCAAAGACAAATTGCAAAAAAACTATTTCTGTGCCACGGAATTATTCACATAGCGACGTAAAACTCGATTGGAGCTTTAGTCTATTTTACCGGCGTCGATGATTCCTCCTTGGGTTCCGGTGAGGCGGAATGTAGGGCCCTGGAGCTGGAGCTGCTTACGATGGCAAAAAAATTTTTGAAGGTAAAGTAGTTACTCTCCACGTACTTACCATCGATGAAGCCCAGTGGCGAACGGTCTTTGAAGCAATACAGTCGGTACTCGTACCCGAGTTTATCGAGCTGCCTCTTTACGCTGCGAGAGAGGAGAAGGCAAGCAGGACCAAGACCAAGATCGCGCATCATCTGGAAAACCGCATGGAAGGCGATGGGTTCAAGCAACAAATCTATATGACTGACCTCTTTTTCCTTCCCGACGACGACAAACGCGTCCACAGGCTTGGAAACCTTTGCAGCTAAGTAGGCCGCCCGAGTCTGTTGTGTAAGTGCGTCATAGTTGTGCAGCAACTCATCGGAGGCAACGTAGAGGAAGAGATCGACGTGGGAGGGGGTCGAGCCTCTCGTAATGGGATATCGATCATCCCGTTTGAGAACCATCGCTGGCCGCTGCTCTCCGAGAATGTCGATGAGATCGCGTTGAGCTCCTTCGGCCATGTCTACCAGGATGGTCTTCCCAGTGATGATAAACGGGCAAGGAAGTTCTAAGGTGGAAAAGAATATGGAAGGTTGAATAATCGGAAAGATTAGATTTACCTCTCTCGATCGAGACATGCTGGATCACACTAAAGAGCGGGTCGATCATCCAATTCGGAACTAAACACGTAATAGGAAGTAAGAGGTCCTCATTCCGGCAAGAAAGAAAAGCTAGTATTACCGACAGAATGGAGGAGGAAGATCGTGGATGCCATTGAGCTGCAGAAAGCCGCTGGAAAGAATGTGATCGATCGATCAAAGACGCAATATTTCGGCATCATCAAGGAAGAATTCGAGAATACGTACCAAGAACTGCCATAGAAGCCCTGTCCGTGATGCTAGAGAGGAAATATGCCATCGCCAGGGTCTCCAAGGGGATTCCGACGCTCTCCCGCCAGGAAATCTTAATCTTGGTGTAGAGCAAGATCGCTGCGGGACAGAGAACGCCGAGAACGGGCAGGCCACACGGCATCGCCGCCAAGTCGCCGACCTGGAAGAGCGCCACGATCTTAGAGCTGATGATGAAGAGCGCGATCCCTAATGCCGCCAAAGCGCCGAGCTTGGAGAAGAGCGCCATCGCCGCCATGCGCTATTCCTTCCCACAAAGTGTTAAGGGCAAACGCAATGGCGGGCTGTTCAAAATATAGAAACGAATCTTCGCAGTATATACCACGTAGGGTTTAATCATTCCTTTTCCCCTTGCCTGGACGATAAAGTTATTTCTAGGGCTCGTATTCTCAATGGCGGGAAGAGAGGCCCTAGCTAGCTAGGGCGCGCGGGAGCACGAATCGATCCATCCAGGTCTGCCTGCTTGTGCGCCTGCCTCATTCATGTCTTCCCAGTTCTAGCATCGGAGTAGTGCATTCTCGCGATTTTGAGCTGTGTTCCTGTGATGCAGTCTCTCTCGATCGGGATAGGGCGCTCGCTTTTCTACCTTAGGCTGGGAATGGGGCGGACTCGCAGCGTTACCGAGTTTTTCCAGCCTCCCAAGAGGGTGAAGGTGGGATCGGAGGACCGAGCACAGGTTTTTCATACTGCTGCCGCTACCGTGGATGGAGAGGATGGGTCTGGATTCTCGTTTCGTCGTCTCAGCGATGAGGAGCTCGCTCGAAAGTTTGACGATCAAAGTCCAGCTCCGAAGCACCAATCTTCCTACTCGTTCAAGACAGCTCTTTCAGTGGAAGAAAATGCCGAAGGAGAACAAGGTCCGAGTAAAGACGAGAAGATCCGAGTGGAAACGTCAGTGGAGGAGCGCACGGAAGTTTCAACGCTAAACAAAGAGCAAAAGATGCGAGTGGACATGAACAAGTCCATGGCTCTGGCCAGGAGAAAACTGCGACTGTGCGAGGAGGTCGTCCAAGCTTGTAAGTGTTTTCTTAGTTCTTTTTTTCGCGTATGTAACTTTCGTGGTTTTTCGTTCTTTCTCCAGCGCAAGGAGAATTCCCCGAGTTGGAGAAGCTTTTGGTGGAACCGAGCTGGGTGGAGGTCTTGCAGGACGAGTTCAAGAAGCCATACATGGAGAATCTCCAGACTTTTGTGAAGCAACAAGCGGCCGGAAAAGTTCCCGTTTATCCACCAGCGGCCAAAGTGTTCAATGCCTTCAACTCGTGCCCTTTTGATCGAGTGAAGGTTGTTCTTCTTGGTCAGGTATGCATTTGATTTCCTCTCCAACATTGTCCAAAAATATTTCTTTTTCTCCAGGATCCTTACCATGGTCCAGGCCAGGCCATGGGTTTATCATTCTCGGTTCCAGAAGGCATCAGAATTCCTTCCAGCCTGCTCAACATGTACAAAGAAATCCACAGCGACGTTGGTTGCCGGGTTCCGCTACACGGAAACCTTGAAAAGTGGGCATACCAGGGAGTTCTGCTGCTAAACACTGTTCTCACGGGTACGCAAGGAGATCTCTTGCTCGAATTCTTTTCTTTTCCGTGTCGCTTATTTCGTTTGGACTAGTTCGCGAGCAGCAGGCAAACTCTCATGCCAAGAAAGGCTGGGAGCCGTTCACTGACGCAGCCATCCGTGCCATTTCGAAAAGAAAGACCGGAGTTGTATTTCTGCTGTGGGGGAACTGCGCACAAGAGAAAATCCGGTGAGTGGAAAATTCTCGCCAGCGTGTTTTGCATTCGAAGTTGCTGAACGTCCTTTCTTTCTTTGTTTGCAGTTTAATCAACCCAAACGAGCATCACGTCTTAAAGGCTGCTCATCCATCTGGCCTCTCCGCCCACAAAGGGTTCTTCGGCTGCAGGTTAAGAAACAAAAGTGGTATGAGGTTTTAAAGCTTTTTCTGTGTAGGCATTTCTCTAAAACGAACGAGCTGCTGGAATCGGCTAATATCCTTCCCATAGACTGGCAAGTCTAAATTGGAATCTCCTTAATAAACTTTAATTATTATTATTATTCGAACATGTTTTTGCTTATTTCTTGGTGGAATGGAAGTTGCACAGAGGGAGATTATGAATGTTCTAGAGTTTCTATTAGTTCACCTAGTTATCAACACTTAACATTAGCAAGTGACCACTTAGAGAGTGTGAGAGAAAAGCTATTAACAAGCACAAACTAGAAGAACTTGTCTCCTGCATGTTAAATTCACCTAAACTATTTCAGACAGTTATAAAGGATTATTAGGTGCTTTTGCAAAATAAATAACAAAATTGCAATCATTTTGCATTTAATAATTAAACAATTTGGATATTTGTCACAATACTTTGTAATTGACCATAACTTTATATCAGTCTCAGTATATATGCAAGCAATACCATTTCTTTTAATGATAAATTTGCAAAAACAAAAATATTCTTTATTATCAGATATCCATAATTTATGTTTTTCCCAACTTTGCAATTTAAATGAAAGAAAATCATATTCTTACCATTTTGAGAATATAAATGATCTTTTTGATCCAGAAAATAAAGCCATTGGATATATATTACAATTGTCTTTTGAATGATGAGTTAAGAAGTGAAAATAATTTATATTATAAGATCCTTTAAACTACCATTGATAAACTTAATAATAAAGTTCATATTTTCTAGAACTAATTTCATATAAATCACAATATGCTTCTAACATTGAATCAATATATATTCTTCTTAAATAGTAAAATCCCGATTTTAAAGTTTCATCTACTAAATTATTTGTATTACCACCTGAATTTTGTTCAATAACACAATTAGGAGGATTACTATTTATATGCTTAATAGTAACAAGAGCACAGCTAATCTCTTTTAGTAAGTTTTTATATTTAGTAAGTTTTCATGATTATCTAGAGACTAACTATTGGGATTGGGGTGAAAGTCCAAAGTGTGCATTCTTCTATGTGAGGGGGAGGGGGGGCTATAAGTGGTTTCAAATATATAGTAGTGATAGTAAATAGGTTAGCCATGGCTAACTAACTTGAGAGATAATGTAACTCCTAGTTTGTGTGTCTATCTTTATTCTACTTTTGGCTTGGATTTAAGCCTATGCTCCATACTATGTTAATTGGTGGAGTATTTATATCCCCTTGTTAAGCCACTGGTATATTATAATAATATTAAACTCTATTTAATTTTTATTGGGATGCTAAGACTATTTCAATGTCACTGCGTACTTCTATTCTAATGCTTTTTAAATTGTACACTCAAGAGTCATTTTATGCAATAGTTCTTTCACTCCTTGGCTGTAATTTAAGAGTTTAACTTCGTTCCTTCATTTAATGGCCCAAAGCTCTAAAACTTAGGTTTTGCTTCGCTATCTTTGGCTCATATGTGGTTTAGATTTCACTCCATAGTTATCCTATAGTAAATCACCATAGGGTAAAAAGTAAAAGCCATGTTTATTACACTTTTTTATTAATATAATGTTAAAGCTTGAGGAAGGAAGGAGTTATGATTGCAAGCTATTAAAGAAGTTCATTATGATGCTAAAGATAATGTCTCGAAAAATGATCTATATAAGTTTAAATGGCCTACACTCCTTTTTCTAATTGATTAAGGTTTTGGGATATTTAAAGTGACCTTAAAAAAAATTTAAATTCTTACATTTAGTATTAAAGGGGTTTCCAAGTCTGAAGTTAGTTAAAAGAATCACACTATTGAGATTGATATCTAATGGTTTAATTTGATCTAGTTATGCTCAATCCAAGGTCTAAAGTATCAAGAGAATGACATTCTTAGCTTTTATTCACAAAGGTGTGAACTTGTAAGGAAGTGTGGTAGATTATAAACAACTGAAGAGAATGATTTAAAAGATGATTTATAAAAGTTTAAATATAAAGAGAAAAAGTTTATGAATAAAAATGCACCCCATTTCTAATTAAAGATTTTAGGATATTTGGGGTTATGCGTTCTTAAGTTTGAATAAATAACTTTATGGGAACTTCACATTCAAGAGCAAATGCTTCAAGGATATAATTAAAGAGATGTTGATTGTCTAGTTCCTCAAAAATTTATTTGTTTGGACATTAAATAAAAATGAATACTATTTTGTTCATATGAACTCTTTTTTCTATATTTGCATCCCAATTTAGTTATTCTTAAAGACTATATACTAACATAGAAGGCAACATTAATTGGAGGGGATTTCTTTTCTGTGAAAGATTGTGTTATCATAACTCTTGACAATAATATGGAGGAATATATAAAAGTGAGATAAATATTTTAGCATGAAATCAAAGGGAAATTTTATAGTTACACAAAATATAGGACTTTTTATTGAAATTTTTAAGTCTATAACAAAATAGAGATAAAGATTGTGGCTCCAATTTTTATATGTGAAGAGAAGTATAACTTTCTAAAGCATATAATTCATATATAAAAAAAATTATAACTCTTTATTATGGTAAATCAAAAGGAAAACCTTGAAACCTTGAATTACAACATTGATTCTAAAACTTATTTTGGCATGAAATATCTTTATAGAATGATTTTGAACTCAAATCTCAAGTACTAAAAATTGTAGTTACTCAATACTTTCTCAACATTAAAACCTTTCTACCAACTTTATTATATTTAGCATAGTTTCAAAAATAAATTTTGTAGAAAAAACCTTGTAAGTTTGGTTTGAATTTGAATTTAATACATTTTATACTTCTTTTCAATGGTTTTCTCAAAAGCCCTAGAAAAATCTTTTGAATGAAGGAATAGTATGTAAAGTATATTACCTTGACTAACATACACTAATAATATCTAGTCATCAAAATGTTTCCACTTGTATCTCTTGATTCATAGTTAGGTTTATTTTAATGAATTGCAAGAAAATAAAAATGTAATAGTTATTAAAGTAGTTCAGCTTTAGAAAAGATATGTTCTTATAAATTTGTCTTTTCTAAATGACTCAATCTAGTAAAAACTTTTGACTAAAATACTTATATATTTCAATATTTTAAAGTTCATCAAAACCTTCTTTTTTTCAACTTAAACTTCTTTTATAAAATTTTTAATTGACTGTATTGACTTGAGTTGACTTATGCTAAGTTCAGCGCAACTTGTGAGCTCAATTTTGGATTATCCCCGCACCTCTATAACTTTCAAAGTCTTTAATTCATCAATTATTTCTAAACTATATGATTTTTTAGGATTCAAATATAATGAATAAGAATGCATC